ATTCTTTGAACCGTTTTAATTAATTCTTTATATTGGGATCTTATTGTTTACATGTATGGCATATTTAGAAATATAAAGTGTCATGTCGATTCACAAACCAACATCACTATAACAAAACAATGATAACAAAAGAAAATAAAAAACCAAAACTCGATTAATATGAAAAAAAAAATACAAGATCTCTATCTCTATGAAAATAATTAAAAAAAAAAATACACATGCCATGTATGGGCAAAACTCCAAATTAATACTATGCAGATTTTCCTTTGAAAAATTAATCATTGTATTTATTATTTAATTTTCATAATTTTGTGCAAAACTAAACTCTACAATAATTTTTAAGGGCCTAGAATAGTTTTTTAAGGTCAGGTTATAACAATTAAATCCTTGCTGAAATTGTTAAATTAATTAATCCTAAAATTGCTGATTTATTTAAAAAAATAATAAGCCGCCATAGTTTTGTCTTCTACGTGATCGCACAGTAATATCGGCACCTTCTGAAACGTAATGAGTAGGTTTTTTCTCCTGAGACTATAATTTATTATTATTGGAGAATTTTCCAGAATACTATGAAGAATTAAAAAAAGAACGAAAGAATATATGCACCAAATGGTCTTCTACTTCTTTGATCTTGTTTGGAAATTCAGGAAGGCTAGTTCAACCTTGAAGTCAGAAAGAAAGGAGTATTCCCCGAGAAACAATCCATATATATTAGATTCCAAGATAAACTTTAAGTATTTATTTTTTCTTAAAATTTTTTGAGATTTTTCTTTTAATTTTGATGATGTCAGGTAAGATAACACGTTATTTTTATTTAATTTAATTATATTTTATTAGAAATATTGGAATTAATTTAACGATTTTACATAATTTCTGTCTCACAACAAATGATATTAATTACGTAATATTCTGTATCATTTAAAATATCTTATTTAAAATAAATGTATATTAAAATTTCCACGTATTTTTTTCAATAAAATAAAAGATAAAAATAAAACTTCCACTTAAACTAGCATTTATCAAAATAGAACTTAGTATTTTTTATATATTATCAAAAGTATAATAAAAAAAATTAAATAAAACAATGACGTGAATAATCAGCTAATAATATTCTTTAAACAATAAAAACATGTCATTTTAAGATTATTTAAATTAAAATTCTCAAAAGAATTTCTCTTGCCCGTTTCCATGAAGTGTCGTAAAAGCGCAGAGACCCTAAAAAAAAAAAAAATAATAATAATAATAATCGTAAACGACAGGACAAATGCGTGGTTTCCGCTCACGACCAGCTGCTTGATGCTCAGAACCTTTTGACAATGACTACGGCACTTTACCAAATGGAAAGACTTTAAAAGTCCAAGTCTTTTGTGTGTCAAATTACGTGTGAATGCTGAATCCGCAATTTGTACAGTCAAATTCCATTGAAGGACCTCAGGTTTTTCTAACAAAGTATACCGATCCTTTACTATCAACTGGACGGTGCCGAAATTGGTATAGTCAATTTCCAAGAAAGACCTTTGCTATATTCTACACGTTGGGGAACGTAGGAGCAAGCTTCGTCTAGCTATTTGCCACATGTCCCATTACTTTAATTCTTTCGGACCTCTTTGTATCATCGAGGAAATTGCCACAAGAGTGAACGAGATTAATGAGGCGGTCTAAAGATGGAAAAAGTTGATGGACACACGCAAATCTTGTCTCCTTCATTATCCGTTCATCACATATATTGCAAGAGTCAAGACAACCACAAAGCAAACAAAAATACCAATATCACATAATTAAGAAGAAGGACACGGTTTTTCCTTAAAACAGTGTAGTTTCAAATTATTTTGTCACTATTAGAAAAAACTTATTACTAAAAAAAATAAAAGATTTAAAGTTTTTACTATTCATTTACTGTAGTATTTTTTTTAAGGGCTGGCCAGTAGCCCAATCCTGAAGAAGCATGCTCAGCCAAGCCTGGCAATAGACTCAGGCAGGCTTGGCCTAGCTCACAAGCCTGCACAAGTAGTTCTACTTGCCCTATTTTTTTTTCAATTGTAATAATTTATTTTTATATTTTTTTATCATGAAATTAGGTGACAAAATATAAAAAGAAAATCGTTATTTTTTCTTATTTTTACATATAATTTGACGCTGATAGAATATATATGATATTTTTTAAAATTTTAGTTTGAACATATATTTCGATTATATTATTTTTATTATTTAAAATTTATTTCTTCACTTATATATTTCTTATTAAAATTCTCATCAAATTAATTTTTTATATAATTTTATTTGTTAATAAATTTGATTTTTTTATATATTAATTTTGAAATCAAATTTAAAAACGTGATTGTTTTATTTTTTAAAAATATATTATTATAATTTATACAAGTGATTATTTTTATTATTTTTAAATGAGAATAGCGTAGTTGCATATATAAATTATAACGAGAGAGACAGAGCACTAATAGTGTGTTTTAGATAATTTGACATAATTTTTTTAACAAATAATAATCAAGTAAAAAAATTATTTGACTCAATTTTTTTTTTAAATAAAAGATGAGTTAAAAATTCACGAGTTTTTTATTCGGTTTTTTTTTATATATAATCAGAATTTATCAAAAATAATTTTACAATAGTTTTTATTAAATCTATTCACTTTGATATATTCCATGCAAATTCGGTGGGGTTTTTTGTATATATTTTTTTTATTGATTTTATGTACTGCGAATCTGCTGAGTACGATACATATATAATAGTTTTCTTAGAAATTAATTATATCTACACACATAACATCAATTATTTATCATTGTTTTTTTCAAGTTCTAAAATCTGTATTTTTAAATAAAATAATTTAATTAATTTTTTGAAATAACCTCTTAATTATTCAAATACAAATTTTATACTAATATTATAAATTATTTTATTAATAAATATATATAAATCAAACAAGTTCGCTTAATAGATAGATTCAATTTATATTAATCTCTAGAAACAAAACTTCTACTTGCATCATACCATACGAATCGTTAACCATGCTTATATAATGGTTGTCCGACTGCAAGGTAGCACGAGTATCTAACTAGTAAAAACTAAATATATACATCATCTACATATGATCTAGGTAAAAAATTTGGAGTCAACCGTTGACATTAATAATAAAAGATGGTAGCCCACTAATAAGCAAACGTTGATTTGTAAATCAAGTTCGGGATTCGATTATTACGTCTAACACTTTTGAGAATTTGTTCTCAAGATATTCGAAGTCGTACGTTGAAGAGTGCCTCTTAGCCACATTCAAAGAAGGATTAGTCTTAAAATATGTAAAATCTGGCTTGAAAACATCCTTACTACTACTGATAATAATAATAATAATAATAATAATAATAATAGAAATTCGAATTCTAAGTAGGTGATTTGTTGATCAAAGAGGGCTCTCGTAATTTTTCAAATTCGAACTTTAAAACTAATATTTATAAAAATTTATTCCGTGATACACTAGATTAATGTAAAAGATGCAATCTTAAGATATTGAAAAAAACAAATTAATTTCAATTGATGCATATATTGATTTAAAAATATCTTTAATCGTTATATGAAAAAACAATTAAAATTTCTAGGTGACATAAAAAAGAAGAAGTGAAGTTTGTAATTTTCATGATTACTATTAATCAATATACTCTATCATGTTAATTAGGATATTAATATCCAACCGTAACTACCAAATATCTTTCTTCTAATGATCAATATTTTCTTAATCATTACAGTAGATGAAAAAAAAAAAAAACAAACCACTCTAGGATTATATCATTATCATGCTAATGGAAGGGATTAGTTTTGAGGCTCTTAAAAGCTGGCCTGAAGACGTCATTACTATTCAAAATAAAAAATGCGTTGTTAGCTAATGGCCATAGATCAATTTTTAAAACGATGATCCCAAAGTCAACGAAGTCAACACCAGTTGGAATTCCTTACTGAACCTACGACTTGCTGGCTTCTACCATGGTGCATGTGACATGGGTTCAGGGGACCCCAGCAGAAAAATGAGTAACAACATCTAGTTCCATTTTTCAACAATTTTTTTAAGTTTTGTGGAAGAATAAATTATTCTTGTTAACCTAACTGCAACTTATTACCTCACTAATAAAAACTTTTTTCTTTTATCTCTTATTTACCATTAACTTATTAAATCATTTTTCAGTTTTTCTTCTAATTCCAAATATACCTACTAATAATTCAAATTCTTAAGGAAAAATCTACATTATATTGAGGTTTTTTTAAAAAAAAATTAATAAAACAACAATTAAACAAAATTGAACTACACTAACAAGAGATATAGTTTAATGGTAAAAAAATTGTTTTGATTTGACTAATATCAAATTTTAATTTTTATCATATATTCATATATAACTAGTCATAATTATTTTTTTTGAATGATATGATACTGGATTTGTTTGGTTTAAAAAACAATTTAATATTCAATTAAAAGTTCAATTAAAAATTAAGAATATTCTGATATTGGTTTAATATGAAAAATAAAATATTTAATACTGATTGATGTAAAAATACTCTATTATATATATATATATATATTGACAGACTAAAGAACCATTTACTCTTTTATACTTTTAAATTTTTACTAGTATTAGATAAAATTGGATCATATTCTAATAAAAGATGAAATCAATTCTAAGCAGTTTTGCTTTATACACCTGTCTAATTACTCATGTTCTCTTGCATCATGAGATCAATCAAAGCCTCAAGTTCCTTCCATTAAAACCAAAAACAGGCACGTGTGAAAAAACTACTCTAGGATTCCAAATTGGCAGCTGATGATTTGAAAAATGACACGACAAAGTGATGTCTAGTACATGACGACCACATTCATGACATCAGTCTGCTTTTTTATTTTCTTGGACTTTCCGGCCCTGTTTAGATGGTGTATATAAAGAATTGTCAAGAAAACGGATCTTCCATCTTCACATCTGTTTCTGAAGTTTCTCATGGGAGTCATGGTTGTAAACTTTGGAGGAACAACAATGGAGAGTACTAGTACTAGGTCTAATGTTTCTTCTACAAAAACAGAGAGAAAAGTCATTGAGAAAAATAGGAGAAATCAAATGAAAACCCTTTACTCCAAGCTCAATTCTCTCCTCCCTCATCAAAACTTCAAGGTTGTTTCTCTCACCTTCTCTAAACATATCATGTTTACTTGTATTATTGCACGCCATAGCTTGCACCTCCCGTGAAGAGGCAAAGCTGTCATTGCTATTTCTTGTTTTCCTATTGCTTGAATTGGTATTGAAACTTTTTGATTTGTTTTGGATATGCAGGAACCACTGCCACTTCCAGATCAGATAGATGAAGCAATAAGCTATATAAAGAGTTTAGAGGAAAGGTTGAAGAAATCAAAGGAAAAGAAAGAAAGCTTAACAGGCAGCAGAAAAAGATCATATACATGTACTTATGATCCTATACCAATTGCTACTCCAAAATCACCTCATCTACAAATCCAAGAAGTGGGTTCAGCTCTAGAGATAGCTTTGACAAGTGGGCTAGACAATCAGTTCGTATTTTATGAGATCATTCGCATTCTTCATGAAGAAGGTGTAGATGTTGTCAGTGCTAATGTTCAAGTTCTTGGAGATTCCATTTTCCATATACTTCATGGACAGGTAATAATTATATGTATTTTATCAAATTATACATGCTGATTCATTTCTAACCTTCAACATCTTTACCTAAACAATTCAATGATCAATTTGAATTTCTTTTGTGCAGATCAAGGGATCTGCTGATGGGTTTGGAGCTGCAAAAGTAACCGAGAGACTGAATAGGTTAATTAATGGATCCACAAGTGAAATAGAGTTGGATTCACAGCTATGGGACTTGGAAATTCATCCTGAGATTAATTGGGAATTCTAAAGAGTACTGTAGTACCAAACTCAGCATAATTTTATGCTGAGTTTGGTACTATAATTTGGAATCTGAGTTTAGTTTCTGAATCTGAGTTTAGTTTCTTGAAATCTGTAAGATATTAGAAAAAAAATTCGCACATGTACTGTAATATCCTATGTAACAAATTAAGAAGGCCTGTGCCTGTTGGTATTCCATTAAAATTTACACTTTCTTCTGAATTTTTCTTAAGAGCAATATTTTCATGCTCATAAAACTGATATATTTGGTAAATGATCTATAGAATTCAGTGGAAGCAAGCAAGAGAAAGTGATGTTTGACTGCAATAGGAAACAAATGATTTGCATCAATGCTGGATCATATAAGAGGATTGTAAGAGAAGAAGTCAGTGTGCATGGAATAAGTTTTGGCTGTTTTTCAGCTTATCATGGACATTGCGTGTTCTAGAATCAAGAACTTTAGAATAATCTTTTTATTTAGCTTTTTGAAAACTGGAAATTTCCGAGATTCATTTGACCTTTGAGAAAACATTTTCAGACTTTGCTGATAAATATATTTCTTACATTTTTCTTTTTCCTGAAAACAAGTTCTAGTTCTTGGAAAATTTTCAACAAGTTTGTTTACCCTAGCTAAGAAATTAGCAGTTGCTTGAATGATTAATTGATGGGGAAAAGCTAGAGAAAATTGGGGATTTACTGAGCATTTAGTGATTGTCTGAGTATTGATTTTAATTGCACCTATAGAACTTGAGTCTTCCTACATAATCTATTCAAACAAAAATGCTATTGTATAATTTTTTTTTTTGGTACTAAAATTCTACTGATAACCTCTCAAATCAAATTTATCAAATCGAATTTTATCATTCTTTATCACTATATATAATTCATCTTTGGATTTGCATAAATGGATCTAGACTTTTATCAATATTTTGGATGTTTGGAACTCGTTGTTATATGATCATAAACTTATGTTTTGAGAATATCATGGCAACAAGCAATCAAAATAAATGGAATTTTATAAGTTATGGTGTCTATATGATTCATGATCTTATTATTTGTTTTATCTTTTACTGAATCATATATGATTCTTTTAATTTTTTTCTTATTTGTGATATAGGGGGATTAATCAGACCTAATCGAGCATATGCCTACGATATGCATGCAATTCAACTAAACCCCTACGTAGTATTTCTTAATAAGTTTTTATGGTGAAATCTGGATCATTGTCATTAAAAAAAAAAACGCTTTAGTATAATATATATCATTAAATGTACCTCTAAAATACTAAGACATTAATTAGCAGTAATGACCAAAATCGCCTCATAATTCTCACAAGTTAGATCTTTCTACTGCCATGGAGACCATTATTGGTAATCTAGACATAATTTCACTTCTTGTTTTTTCCAATTGTTGATTTGAGTATTTCTTTCAGAGAAAATTTAACCATTTTTTTATTTGATTTATGGTAATTAAGAACATATAATTCTTCCTTAATTTATTAGTTATTTTCAGTAATTGATGCCACGCATCTATAATATACATGGAAAATCTTTTAAATTACGATCATGTAAATCTCATCGATATTTAATGTGATACTTTACGTTATTAAACTGATATTGTAACATTATTTAGCAAAAATGATAGAAAACTTTATTACTGTAACATTATTGATTTTCTTTTAATTAGGGATCACAAGTTTTTCGTTTCATGCTAAATAATTTGCCTTTGCAACATATCTTTTGAAGGGCTTAATCTTGGTTAAGACAAGTAACCAAGAAGCAATAGCGGAATTTGCCTTTCGCTGAGAATCCCCTGCTATTTTATCGCTTGTTACTGGCAAAAATTATCTTTTTCTTGTTTCTGTTGCTAATCTCTCGTTAATTTATCTCTAATTAGAGGCAGAATAGTATTTGTCGTGAAAATTCATCACTAATTGCTAACTTCCTTATAATGAAATATGTATATTTATTTTAGGTTAAAAGGTTAAACCTCTCGTGAATTTTAATTTATTTGAAAATCAGACAATGAACTTTTAATTTCAAGTTTGACTTTCTTGAATTTTTTTTTTTTTGAGTTTTAGTTCTTTCTTTATTTTTCTGCCATTTAGCCCCAAAAAATAACAATTACATAAATAGCTTAATTATAAAAATTAATTAGTAAGATTTATCTAAGATCTCCAAAAAAAATTAAGATCATTCCAAGTTATTTTTTATTTTTTTCTATTTTCAACATTTTTAATATTCAAAAAATAAAAAAAATGTACTTGTCGATCCTTTTTTTTGTATTTTTTAGAAAATAAATTAGAATTTTTTCAACATGCGTGCAAAACTTCATCTCAAAATACAAACAATTGATATATATATATATATACACACACACACACATACAGGATGGGTGATAGCTAAAAATTATAAGAATGACCAAATCATTAAAAAAAAAAAAAGTTTAGTGAGGTCAAAGCAGAATTAGAGGTTTATAGACTGGTTTTTAAAGTGATTTGACCTATTTATCCTTTATTTTATATGGATTAACAATATTTATTGTTTATTCTACATAGCCTAGCTAATTTTCTAAGCTACAAATTTATCTTTATTTTTCTTTTGGAAGGAAATTTCAAAGAAAGTTTAACAGTCTGACAAAACAAAGGTTCTCGGATAATTCCTTGGAGTGTCTCAGGTCTGAGTTACCTTAATTATTGGATGCAATTATTCTCCTTCGCATCCCAATCTTATCTAATTTCATCTAACCTTGCTAATTAGAATTATTAGATTCCACTTTCGAGGGAACTATATATTAGTTGTAATTTATGAAACCAACCTCTTGGATACTAGACATAACTCGAGTAAATTATAAATTACTCATCTTGTTTTCCAAGATGAATTAAATAATTTTTTTAGTTTTAAAAACTAATTAATCAGTCTCTATATTTTAAAACCTATTGATAACTTAATTCTTTTTGTTTCTTTTTAATTTTTTTTTCTTGTATTAAAAAAGAAAAAAGAAAAAAATAAAGTAAAGAATATGAAAAGATTGAAGAAAAAAAATATTTTTGAAACAAAATAAATTAACTTAACCATGGTCAACATTAGTCAAAATACTAATTAAATAATTTTTAAAAGAATAGGGATTATTTAATTAATTTTGCAAAACTAAAGGGACTAATTTATAATTTACTCCATACTTAATTCCGTTGACTGTATAAACATGACTATAAAAAGTTTTGATATAATAAAGGATGTCTGGCGGTCTGGCCTCTGGTTTGTTGGCAAATTAATGGGACGTTATGACTACCCAATGCGACTCAGGCACTTGTCGTATGGCTGCCCCCACCTAGTTTGACGGTTTTTTCAATCTCCAAGAAGCTTCTTTGCATTAAATATATGCCGGGAATGAAAAAGTTATTATTAAGCAATCTTGTGTTTTTTTTTTAATTTTTTAAATATATGCTATACATGTTGACGCATTTAATTTCTACTCAGGATGAGATTTGAAATTTCTTTACCAGTTATAAAAGAGGTGGTTTTCGTTTTCTTCAGGACATAGGCAGGGTATGCTTAGAGAGAACTATTGGACAAAAGTAATTCATGGTTTTGTAAAATAATTTTCACTTTCGGATTTGAATTTAATTTAAGAAGGGCTTTTCGCTTTCTGTTTTACTTCTTTTTATTTGCTTTGTCATTTTGCTCTTTCTTTTGCTTTTAGTTTAAGATTAGTTTTTTTATCCGTCGCATATAAAATAAATAAAATTATTTTATTTTAATATCTCATATTAGATTGTGCATCTATTAAAATATATCAAATCAAAACTCAATAAAAAATTTATTTAATTTTATTATTTTTCATTTAAAATTTTATATTTGACTAATTATTTTTATATTTTCATAAATTTTTTATTAAAAAATATTATTTATTTATATTTACTCACATTTTTAGCTAAAAACTTATTTTATAAATTATTTTTTTCTAAACATCTTTTTCATTAAAATTTTTAATTAAAAAATTAAAGAAAAAAAGATTAAGGATTAAAGTGATTAAAATGAAACAAAAAAAATAAGATCAAAATTAAATAAAAATATTTACATACTAGAAAACAATATTTAAAAAAAGGATTAAAAATAATATCATGAAAACTTTCATAATAAATGTATTAAAAATATTTTAAAACTATAAGAATATCATTGCATAGTAAAAAAAATACATTTAAGTTGAATAAATAGTACGTATAAGTTTGGATGAATAATATTTAAAATAGTACAATAAATAATAAATTTATGTTTTGGTTTAATTTTTTTACAATACCGCAATATATTTTGCAACAAATAAGCTGTTTCATATTAAACAAAACCTATCCACAATGAAATATAATGAATACTCTTTAAATAAAAAAATTGGGCTATAATTTAAGAAAAAAATTAATGATATTTTTATTATAAATACCACGTCTATGTTCATCATTTGGGGTATACAAATAAAACATTGCAAACTATTTATATTTATTTTTTAATTAGAGTATAAATAGAAAATAAATATTTTAGTTTTCTCAATGTTTCATTTGTAAATATAAAATAAATACACGAGACAAATTTTTTTTTTAATTGTTATTTGAAATGCATTTGTTCAATATATAACATTTTTGGTTATGCATTTCGCTTTATTTTAGGAATGCACCAGCAAAACCCCGCGTAAACCACAACAACGAAAAATGGATGAAATTGGATGGCAGAAGACCAAATCGAAAGGACACCGGTGAGCAAACTGACCGGTGGGGCCTGAAATCTTTGAGTACAATCATTAGAAGCGAAGCAGGTTCGTGGTGGGAAAAAGAAATTGGGGGAAGAAATCAGAGCTCAGGAGCATGGCTGGAAGACATTAAATGCTCCTGCAAAACCATGAGCAAAAGACGAAAATGGGCATCCAAGAGTGGAAGGAAAGCTGGAGTTGAGGGCAAAAGCATCACCACGATACAGCTCATACGAAGGAAAAAATTGCACTGAGGATGAAAGGGAATCCAGGAAGAAGACTTGGCAGAAAACATGACTGGAAAGCCTTCAATGCTCCGCCAAACCCATCATAAAATGACCAAAAAAGGCATTACATAAGTGGGAGGAAAGCCAAAAGTGAGGGCAAAACCGTAACCTCATACCAACACCCAATGGCAAGAAATAAATTAAGGTGAGAATGAGAGGGCACTTTCTTGGTAAGAAAATAAAAGGCAGCAAGACACAAAAAAAAAAAAAAAAAAAAAAAATTATATCATCCATGAGGCTGCAGGACTCAAAATTTGTAGAGAAACAGACAAATATATAGGGTGAACAGGCTATGAACAGCTTCATCCCCACTTCATTTGGTTTTTCTTGTAATTTTTGTCAATTTGCACCCACCTTAAAGCCTTAAAAGTATCACATTCCAACGTTAATTGTCACAGGCAAGACACGAGCCAAAGTTCAACCGGCATGTCTTATGTAGGCCAATGTGAGCAGAGAGCCCAAAAGCATGCACATTAAAGTATTCAATTTCTGACAATTATCAGAGACTCCCAAAAAAACGAAAGCTGGTAATAAAAAAAAAATGGTTTTCCATATGTTATGGGGATGGTGTATCAATTATCATGTATGTACTAGACAATGGCTGGATGGTTTAATTTGGCCATGAAACCCTTGATGACAATTGGCCCAGATTGTTTGCTCTTCATACTGTTTCAAGCCATGACTTTTTTTATGGGGATCGGAAGAGATGAAATGCTCTAGTTGATGAGAATTTCAAATGGAAGTTTGGAAGATACGATTTCGGAAACAATTGGGACATATGGCTTGCAAGAAATGACTTGGTGTTCAAAGGGTGGCTTGATGAACTTTTGGAGCAGTATTTGAACAAATAGAATATCATGACACCAAACTATAAAATATTTGTAATATAAAGAGAGATAGAAACTCAAGTCATCTCTTTCTCCGTTGGTCAACTTTGGTCTTCCACGACTAAATACAGAATTATGGATGACATTAATTTAATTATTTTTTCTATCTATTAAAAAAAAAACTATTTCCATGTTTATTAAAAAAAGTATTCTTTATACACATATATATATAAGGTTTATCAGTTCATTTAATAACCTTTAAAAATTATTTATCAAAATATATTTTTTTTAGTTCCTATAACTTTCAATAATGTTATTTTGTTCCTTAAAATTTTTTATAGTTTGGTCCTTTATGTACAGATTTTTTGGTCCTTAATGATTTTATAAAAAAAATTTAGTCCCTAAATTATAAAATTTGTGCAATTAGACACTTGTATTTTTTTTTACAATAAAAAAGTAGTAAGCATTAGTAAATATAAAAATAAATACTTATATCCAAAAACCATATTAGCAAATGGGTATTTATATTGTCATCCTAATGTATTGCTATTCAAGTAATTTCCAGTGGGACTGTTGGGTTTTATCAACATCCACTCAATTTCTGTACAGCCATGATTTTTATGAGCTTTTATTGATCACAAGAAGATATTCATACAATCATGCACCTCTATTTAATAGTTAATATATTTTTAAAATTTTACCACAACATTAGATATTTGAAATTATTTTAATTATATTTAATTGATTGAAATTGAAAATACACGTATTCAATTGACAGTACTGATAGTATAGGGATTTTTATGACAAATTGTTAAAAACATAGGGTGTAAAGAGTGAGTTTTGCGAAAACATTTCATACTTGGCGTTTTTGGATAGACATAGCCAGCTTAGGCTTGGTCTTGTTTTAATTTAATCCTTTTATTTATTTCAGGTTTCCTGCTAAGGGACATGGCCTTATGTCCAGTTTGTAGAAAATGGTTTACGGTAATATAAAAACTAGCAGGCATTGATAAATATATATGGTTTTTACTCTTTTAACCCGTGTATCTACATGAAAGATTACTCACCGTATGGTTTCACTCTGCCCATGTGGATCAGAAATGATGCTCATCAGTTGAAGCATACTTCACTTGATTGACGTGTCGTTTATTGATTTTATGAGCACCTGAATTAATTTGTTGGTTTTCTGCGCATGCTGATTCTTTGGGACAGCAATGGGCTGAGTTTGTGATCAAATCAAGAAAGAGTCCAGATTAATTTCTCCATCACAATAGATAAAATTAAATTATAAATTAGTCCATCTAGTTTTAGAAAAAATTAAGAAATCTCTCTTGTTTAAAAAATTAATTTTTTAATTTTCATATTTTTAAATCTGTCTGTAATTACTTAAATCTTTTTTCTCCTTTTCAATTTATTTTGATTTTTTGTTTTAAAAAATAAAAAAAATTTCAATTTATTTTATTTTATTTTTTATTTTAAAAAATAGAAAAAATAAAAAAATTTGATGAAAAAATAGGACGTTTTACGGAATATAAATAATATTAAATTAAATATAGTCAATATTGGTCAAAGAACTTACTGATAGTTTTAAAAACAAAGGAGATTGATTAATTTGTTTATTGAAACTAGAGGGACTAATTTATAATTTACTTCAAAAAATATGAAAAAACAAAAACACAAACGAAATAATGAAAAAAATGACAAAAAACAAAAACATAAACAAAATAACCAAAAACTAAAAAGAGTAACAAAAAGAAGCACTGAAGTCTCAGCAGTCTCCGTCCTCTCTTTCAAGATTTAGGAAACCTATCATTCACATCAGTAAGTTTTTACCATTCTCATTCGCATCAGTAAGCTTTTATCCATTTTCATTTGACAATATTCTTATTTCTGATACTATTTTCCTGACATGCTTGTTTTATTTTACCAGCAGCATTCTTGTTTTATATTAATATTCTATTAGACCATTCTTGATTTTACTATTTGTCTTAGATGATCATAGTTTTTTTTTTTTGGGTAATTTAAATAAAAGCAATAAAAGAATGCTAGATCTGCTTGGCTTTAATCTTGATTTAAAAATCCACATCGGTTTTTAGAATGCAATCTATATTCTGGATATTTTTTTAGATTTGATTAAATATAATGAAAAGGGTGTTCAGTTTAAATAGTCTAATGGATTCTTAATTTAAAAATTCATAGTGTTTTTTAGAATTCAATCTGGATTTTTTTATAAAATTTTGATTAAATATAGAGAAATGGATCTTTGACTTAAATATAGTTGATATAATGAAATGAGTATTTGATTTAAATAGTCTAATTGACTCTTGGATTTTTGTATTTTCTCGAGTTAAATTTGATTTAAATATAATGAAATATGTTTATTGATTTTTGGATATATTATGAAATGTTGTTGAATTAGATTATATTCGTAGGAGGTAAAGCTAAGAAAGGTCAGAAGAAAAAGGTTGAAAAAACAAATGAGGAACCACAATCATCAAAACAGAAGGACAAACAAGAGAATCATCATTATTGTCATCCACAGAGGGAGAGAAAAGGATTCTTTAGCTATGAACTAAAGTTGAGGAAAGACAAAATTAAAGAACTTTCAAAATATAGTTTATAAGGGTTGAATTATGGAGGAAGAGCAAGATGTTGCTTCTTCTTTATATATATATATAAAGATAAACCCAAAACTTAGCAGGCAATAAAATTACAAGACAGAACTCACAATCCTCTCATCAGAGACCTGCGTTCATTGTCACCTGGAAAGACCTGACATATTTTAGGATATTCCCATGTCTTCACTGGCACGTGTCATGCTCCGATCTTTGGAACACCCTACCAAATTGATATTTACCAATTCTAGATTTATGATTCAAAGAAACCATCAAAGTAATAAAATAGACAAAGTTAGCATTTGGAGACAGTTTTTACTTAACTTTCTTCCAATTTTGTTCTTAACGCAACACAAGACTTTTTTTAAAAGTAGAACCAAAAGCACTTTATAAATCAAATTTTTGGACCATGTACTTGTATGCATCTAAGGCTCGAAGCAACAAATATATTCCTTTCTTGAGCATACAAATACATAGAGAGAGAAAGATTAGTACTGAGTTGTAGATAATTAACCACAGCAACATATTCTTATCATAGCACTTGTATCTCACCTTGATTGAAGTTTCGCCCATGATCATTGTGTAACGGACGTTCATAATGAATGGAATGTGAGAAATATTGCCAGCACCACTTTAAAAGTTCTTCACATGTTGAAGACAAGGATTATTCATGGTGAGGGACCTTTCTGAGTTGTCCATCAAAGAAGCAAGACGTGAGTTGAAAATCAGATATCTTTGACATCAACTTCTCAAACCCTATCCAACAAAGACACAATGGTAAGAGTTGAGTAACACAATGGTAATACTTGGGGCTTCTACAAGCTACATTGATGGTTATGCATCAACGGACAGTAGCACCATTAAGGATGGGTAATAAAATTGAATCCCCTTGAAGTGGGTCATATGTCACGTGTCTATCTAAACTGTGTTTCTTTTAAAGACAAATTTTCATTTATCTTCGGAAGAAATAACTATACCTTAAGGAAAGAAAATGTCAGTTTTTTGAACTTAAAGTTATAATATTATGATAACAAGCAGGCCAGGTCTAATGATGATGTAGAGGAGTACAAGGAGGCGCAGACATCCTCCAAGAGGAAAGAACGGCAATAAATGAAATCAAAAGGGCACTCCTATCTCACCAAACATCAATTAAAAAACTCCTACAAATGTCCATTAAGCATTAAATAATGATGCAAAAAAGAAAACTATATGATGACACAAAAATAGTCTCAAAATGGAATGATTCTAAAAGCTCAATAATTCTGATCCATTCAAAGACTCCAAAGCACAACATGGATGATTATATAAGGATGGATATAATAATAAAAAAAAGGAGAATGGCTACCAAATCTGTTTCCATGACAAATGAGAAAGAAAAAACAAAAACTGAAGGGGACAACTTGCACTCTCAAGATCATTTTAGTTTCCTCCAAAAAAGTTGGACTCAAGATGGATAGGAGAAAAGTTTAAATATCTTTTAATCTACACAACATTGTTTACAAAAATTATCCTCCTGGTTCATTTTTTTCAGAAAAAAATCTTCTTTTTTTTTTTTTTTTCCATCTGTAAACTAAAAAGGATGCTCACTATCCTTTTTTATAAGCCCTACTCACTGATACAGACAAAAAGTTGATTATCCATTTTTTTCCCTCTGTTCCTATACCATAGCCTAAACCTATCTTTTGCATTTCTTTTGCCAAAACTCTCAAAAAGAACTGTCACGTTATTTCACCGAATCTTTGGGAGTTGACCAGGAATCAACATAAATTTCATACATTTTAGGATGAATGCTTCAATGATGAGTAATTTATAAATCTTATTAGATAATACTATGCTATGTCAGTTGGCAAAGATTTTGAGTTCCTGGAAAAAATTAGCATTTTTGCTCTAACCAACCAAGAGAGCAGGTTAAAGCATTTTTGCTCTAACCAACCAAGAGCAGCAGCAGGGCACTGAACAACATTCAGAGTCAACAAATTCTTTACAACTCGCTACCTTGTTGGGCACTTCCAAGGATCAGATCCCACGCATTGCATCGCCATGTATGCTAGTTCAATTCCATCACTGTGGTAAAAGCCTGGTCCTGACTCAAAGCTTTGATGCACAAGTGAAGATTTGAATTTTCCACAGCCCCTTGTTGATTTTTTTTGTTTGCATTCATTCTTGTCCTGTTTATACACAAAAGGTGATAGGGAATTAATATCTTCTTCTGCGTGGACTCTTTTGGCTATTAACCCCAACAACAGAAAGTTTTATGAAAACAAATCACATTTATCTGACCATATACCTGCCAAGATAGTTTCAGGGAACTCATGAAGTGAGTTGTGGAGCAAAGGTAACTATGGATGCAAACAGCCATTACAAACAAACAAAGGTAGCAAAATTTGATGACATTGCGTGAGAAATTGTTAAGTCGACTAAAACAAATATTCTGTAATCTGTACAAAGAAAAACAGAGACAATCTAACAGGGAGCAAAAGTTTTCTATTTAGTATGTGCAATCAAGAGGGAATGTGGAATTTCCTATATCAAATAATCGATCCATACTCAATGATGCTGCCATGAGAGAATAATGCATAATTAAACACTACCCATATCTTTTCATGCTTCATTTAACCATCAACCTTTCACCAATATGCAATAATTGTTCATGCTACAACTTCCTAGCATTTCAGCTTTCCAAATCCTATTCAAGAAGTCCTTTCTTGTCCAGTTTCTAGTCATTTCTATGTTACCATTGCATCTAATCGGGTAAGTTAGGGCTAGCTCCTTTAGCTTTGAGAATATTAGGCTGTGGCAACTGTCATTCAACGATAGCATTAAAGACTGGTGCAGTGGGTATTGCACTGAGGGGATGGGCTAATATTTCAATTTATGAAGTTGAAGTTTGTGAAGCAGTTAAAGCGCTGGAATGTGGAGATTGTTAGCCAAGTCCAGGTTCAATTTTTTTTTTTTTTAAACAAAAAACAAGACGTTGAAGGATTTAGATGACCTGAACGATGGAGAGAGGGCTATTTTATTTTTCCTGACAAGGTCTCAGAAAAAGATTTATCTTACACTGAGAATGCAGCAGAAGACTCCAAACAGAAATGATTCTAGCCGACATTGAAGGAGAAGGGAGGAAAGAAAAGATTTTTAATCAAGCACTGTGCTATTGTTGGTGCAGACAAAATTACATTCATCATTACTATATCAAATATTTGCTCGGCTGTAAAAGGCTGTTTCTCCATTCAAAACGAAACTTTGGAGATCGAAAAAAAATACATTAGAAAAACTTGAAGAGCAGAAAAGCATCCAGGAAAATAAATTCCGAAATGGAGAGAGAAGCTATAGCACTCAAAGAAGGCTATCTGTTGTCTCTTCTCTCCCTTTGTTCTCCACTCTCAGAAGTTTTTTCCCTCATGTCCATTTTTTCAAGACTGGAGATTTTATCATAGATTAAGACAATTGTTTATTGCTTATTATCTGAAACTCAAAAAAAAAAAAACAAAAAAAAAAACAAAAGTGACTGACACCTCAGACAAATAATCTCATGGTAAGGCTGCTTACATTTTAAGTTCCAGCTAGGCAAATGACAAGGAATAAGCTAAAAAAATGAGTATCTATCACTGAGAAGGTATAAATGATATTAAAATATCTATCACTGAGAAGTTATATATGAGATTAAAATACCTTTATGAGCACAAACAGGATCCACATAATGATTCAGAAGGTTTCTTTTATCAGTAAGAATTCCACCAGAAATCATACTGAAGTCGTATAATATTGGGTTATAATCCTACAAGTCAAACAAATTCACGAATTACATAAGTCCACTAAGCTAATGCAAGAGACAAGAAGTTAATGTAACAAATAAACAAATGAGAATCGGATCAACCATTATATGAGCTGCATCTATGTTACGAATCAGAAATGGTAAAAATTTATCTCAGGCATGCAAAAATTAGAGTAGAGAAGCAAATCCAAGAGCAACCTTGATCCTCTGTGACCAGGTAAAACTGTCTGCAAAAGCAAACAACTTGATTATTTTGGCAACTGTAATCTTTATACATAATAAACACCATGAAGAACTTACAACATAAACCAGATTCAAGTAATGCTGAACCTCCAAGAGTAATATGAAGTCAATTATGAGAACTCCTGAGGTAGTACATGATCACCTAAGCTAGCAACTCGTAGCAATGTCAGCTGAATAAGATTGCACTCTCTTAGAGGAGGGAAAGTAGTGGCCCACCTCTTGTCCACAACATCAGCTGGTCTATTGGATCATCTACAAACCCCTATGCTTTGCTTTGGATGGACCTAGAGCATTAAAGTAGGGAGAAAATTGCTATTCCTAGTGCCACCTGCACTGCTAGCACTTCTTGGCCAACGTTCCAAAGAGAATTCATCCCCTTCCTTTTCTGTATATTTGAAGTGGAAGCATCGGAGAAACAAAGAGTTTTGAGTTTGTAACTTACTATGCTAAGTTACTTCTTATAGCCAATACTCTCAACAAATTTTTATTGGCGCTGGAAACCTAATAAAAAAAAGAAGTTATAATTCATTTCCAGAAGAGAAACCAAGGCTTCGGTAAAATAAATAAATAATCGAAACCCATCCTTCCTGAAAAACTATATCTAATTGCTTCATTAAGGAACCTTTTGATCTATTTATTCAAAACATTTTTCCCTGATGTCTGATGTATATATACTAGGAGCTATTCCTTTATAAAAGCATATATATGTAGAATTTGTTCAGAAAATAGTACATGTAGAACACGATAATATAGCCATAAATTCATAATCCCGACTTCTGTGTCCTATTGCACCACAAAATACGAAGTTCTTGCTTCTATTGATAATATATGTTACCACTCATCAAGCAAGATAATAACTCTCAACCAAAAATGCCAGAATGTTTCTTTTCAAAATAAATGTAAATTGAGAAAAAATACATACCTGTGAGCTTCTTCATCCTGTAGTCTTCCAGCAATCTCTTTGCTGGGGGAATATTTGGGCAAATTTGAAGGATCAAAAGCAAATGATTTTGTTGTTAAGAGCATGGGATTTATCTTGATTGCGAAAAACAATCTGCTAAGGGGCTCATGTGGTTTTGATGGATAGGATATTCAAAGGTAATGCTCCAGAAATCAGATTTTTCAGCTCTAGTGTTTGTATTTCAACCTCAGTTATGATTATACCTATACACAAAGAAATACCGAGTACAATAGTTGAGTGTATGATCATCTTCTGGACAAATTTGTTACAACGAAATTCAGCACCCTCCATTAGCGTTTTCCCAAATGAAGATCCCACAAAACATTGATGGAGATCCCATGCTGTTAAATTATTGGTCTACGATACCTATGTTTCAATAAACTAAATTGGCTGGTCAATCACCAGTAATCCTGACATGAACATTTACCATCCTCAAAGTGATGAAACCTGTTTGAATCACGTAACACTATTGGACAACCAACAACCTTTGATATGTATTTAAAGGCAGAGTGACAGTCACCACAAACTCTGAGGTTCTTCATTATCCTAATAGGCAATCCTGAATTGCGAGTGAGAACAAAAGCAACTGCAAGTTTCTCACTGTGATAGCTCAAGAGTTCTTCCTTGTTCTCTGGTTCAAGATCATACAGTGCGAATTTTATCTGGGGCATATATCCAGCATCCCTTATTTTTTCGTTAAGTTCCTTGAGTTTTGCATAAATTAAACCTTTTTCTGGATGTGATTTATCCCCAGCCACAAAAACATGGACACCATCCTTCATGGTTACCCAACTACATCCAGCTTCCTTCTTCACCGCTGCCTCTCTCATTGCTCTCCTAGCCTTTGCCATGTCCTCCCACTTCCCTCCAGAAGCATACATGTTGGAAAGAAGCACATAATTCACAGCATTTTGAGGGTCCATATTGAACAGCATTTCAGCAGCCCTCCTACCTAATTCTGTCTTTCGACCATTTGCTCGGCAGCATGCACCTAAAACTGTTCTCCAAATAAGAGTATTAGGCTTAATTGGCATCTTATTAATGAAATTCTCAATCTTATCTAGTTCACCAGCCCGTCCAAGGAGATCAACCATACACGAGTAATGCTCTATACGAGGAGCTAATCGATATACTTCATTCATGGATTTAAAATGTTCAAACCCTTCGTCAACTAAACCAACGTGGCTACAAGCAGACAACACCCCAACAAAGGTAACATGATCAGGTAATTGACCACTGAACTTCATTTGTGTGAAAAGCCTCAATGCATTATCCCCGTGCCCATGGCGCGCATAGCCTGATATCATTGAGTTCCAAGAATACAAATTCCTCACTGGCATCAAATAAAAAAATCTCGATGCATAATCTATTCTTCCACATTTTGAGTACATGTCAACAAGTGCGCTCCCAATTACAACATCAGATTCTAAACAAGCTCTTATTGCACAGGCATGGACTTCCATTCCACACTCTAGTGTCGCAACAGAGGCACAAGCACTAAGAACAGTAGCAAAGGTGAAACAGTCCAATCGCTGACCCCTCTGCATCATTAACCAGACCAAATCCATGGCCTTGGCCAAGAATTCATTATGTATATATCCAGAAATCATCGAATTCCAACTAACCTCATCTCTTCTCTCAGACATTCTAGAAAAGATTCCCTCACAGTTTTCCATCTCTCCAGACTTTCCATAGCAGGCCAGAAGTGCATTTTCAATGGCATTATCATCCTTAACATTGTATTTCAATATTAGAGCATGTATCTGGTGGTTCAGTTTACTCATTGAAAGAGATGAAATGGCTGCAAGTAAGTTTATGAAGGTTACTCTGTTAGGACTCCATCCAGCACGCATCATCTGCAAGAAAACTTCTACAGCTTCAAAAACTGATGCCTCTGAATCAGCTAACGCCCCAATCACAGTGTTCCATGATACTTGATCACACTCCATCATCCAGGAGAAAACTTTCTGACATTCAGCTAGACATCCAGTTTCACCATACAAAGCAAGAAGAGCATTTGAAACTGAAATGTCCAAATCAAGTCCTAATTTTGTACCTTCCGCATGAATTTGTTGTCCCAGCGAAATGCAACCCAAGCTTGCACATGAACTCAAAGCACTTATCAAAGCGAAATTGGAAGGCATCAAACCAGTTCTCCTCATTGAACTGTAGCTCTTAACTGCATCTTCAAAACATCCATTCTGGTCAAGAGCAGAAATCATGGAATTCCATGAGACTGAATCCTTATCAACCATGAGCCCAAATACTGATCTTGCATAATCAATAGAACCACACTTAGCATACATATTAATAAGCCCATTTCCAACAGCAACCTTGGCATCTTTTAACCTAGTTCGAATTGCATATCCATGAACCTCTCTACCCTTTCTTCTCCCTTCCTCCAAGAGAGCAAATTCAGCACAAGCACTTAACAGAATCACATATGAATCAAGATTTACATCAACCAAGTGTCTTGTCTCCTTGAATACTTCAACAGCGTCTTGTCCACATTTTTGTCTGACCAAACCAACCATTAAGCCATTCATAGAGACAGCATTCTTTATAGTCATCTGCTCAAAAATTTTCCTAGCATAATCAAACAATCCAAGCCTTGAAAATCCACCAACCAAAGCACTACCCACGTAGAGATTTGCCAGTAATCCAGATTTTTTAATTCTTGCAAGCACCTGCTCCAGCAAAGACAAACCAGAATCAATGGAAGAAGAAGCAGCAGTTATTAAACTCCCAAATGTGTATTCAGTAGGTGTCAGACTTAAACCTGAATCTGCCATTTGCATGCTTGAGAATAGTTCAAAACACGAAACTGCATCTCCTCTTTGGGAGTAAACTGATATGATTGAATTCCAAGATATAGAATTCCTGATGTTTATCTCATCAAAAACACGACGAGCATGGTCAATGTATCCCAGATACTTCCCGTACATGGATATCACCACATTACACAATGCCGCTTCATTTGCATAAGGTGACTTCAAAATCAATCCATGAATTTGCGTACCGAGTTGAAGGCCGCATAACACAGACTCCTGGCAAGCTCGAAGAGCACTGCCAAAAGCAAAACGATTAGGGAAAAAACCCTCAAAAATCATCTCTTTTAAAACTCCACATGCATCCTCAGGCATCCCATTCTGAGTGTAACCAGAAATCAAACAAGCCCACGTAACACCATTTCTCTCGGGCATTTCACCAAACACCTTTCGTGACGAAACCAAATCACCAATTCTCGTGTATAAATTGATAAGGGTGTTGCATAGGAACAAATCAGAACCAAACCCATGTTTAAAAATCTTTAAATGAAACAAATTTGCATCCTTTGGACAACAAGAGTGCTTATAACTAGAAACTAAATGTTCAATCAAATCATCAAAAGAACCCACATTCGAAACTTTTGGGAAAATGGGTGTTGTTTTCAGGTGAGAATGAGGTGATCTTTTATAGTGATTGACTAAATCATTCAATGGGATCAGAGAAGGAGATTGCTTGAGTGGTGAAATGAAGTTTTGGGGTTTAAAGCGAAGATGAGGCTGGTTTTTGTCGTGCTGCAGTGGTTTTGGTAGAGGAGTTGAGGCAGTAGTGAAAAAAGTGACAGGAGGGTTTGAATTGTTGTGGAAGACAGGCTTGTTGTGGATGGATTTCAAGAAGCAACGAAACATAGGTGTGACTTAGAGGGAAAGAAAGAAGGAAAGAAAAGTTGAAATTTGTCCAAGATAATGGCGGGAAAGAAAGAAGCAAGCGGAGGTGAGTGGAGTCTTTTCTTAGTTTGCAGGAAAAAGAGCAAAAGGTAAAGGCATAGGTTTTAGAAAATTAATTTCAAAAGATTGTCGAATACTAGTGGTGTGAAAAAGTTTGTTTTTTCATTTAATTTCAATCATTAGGTTTTCCATTTACAAAAAAAATTATTAAATTCTTATAAATATACAAAGCTAATATATTTAAAAATTATTTGAAGAGAAATTTAGTTTTAATTGACGTATAAATTAAAAATAACATTTGATTTCACCAAATTGAGTTGCCACAAACAATAGTAGCTCAATGTTATTTTTTTATTAAATAGTAAACGTATTTTCAAATTAATTTATGCATAAACTAATTTTAAGTTTTTTATTGGATTGACTTATACAACAAACCTAAGGTTTGAATCCGTAAAATTCAAAAAAGAAACAAATAGTCTTAACTAACACGTCAATTTATCAAGTATTGTTTCATAATAAGGGATGAGTTTTGAGAATGATAATGAAAATTTTATTTTTACTTTGTAGGTGTTTAGTTGAAATAAATAAACTGAAAATGATAATAAAATTAAATATAGTTTATTTCTTATATAAAGGTAAAAATATAATAAAAAATGAGATTTTTTAAATAATGATATATTATTTATATTTATTATTTATTAACTAGCTCTATTACTACTATCGACACTACAATCGCCCACTTTGCCAATGGTGAAAAGAAATTCAATTTTTTTTTATTATTTCACTATCACTTTTTTTTCTTCCAAGTTTATTATTTTTATTATATCACTATTATTATTATTACTACTATTTTCTTTTTTTATCCATCGCTACTATTATTGCAATCAGCTCCATTATTTTTACTATTATAATTGACAAAATTATTTTTTAATTATTATTCTTATTGTTTTCAAAACTAGGCATTAAAAAATTTTAAATTTCATTCTGATTTTTTTATTACTATTTCAAACATAGTATAAGATTTAATTTTTTTATTATTATATTACTATTATTACCACAACAACACTTTTACAATCAGTTATATTATTTTTACTATTATTGTAATTCATAAATATATAATCACTATTCATACTTGGAAGAAACTTAAACTTTTAACTACTACTAAGATTAATTCTCCCACTGGTGGATTATTTTTACATTAACCAGAAACTAATTTAAGCCAAATCCAATTGAATAGGTATTGGGCTTAAGTGGGCCGTGGGCCCAATTTAACACCAAGTCCATTTTGATTTAATTCAATAAATGATTGCTTTTTAGTTTGTTTCGATGAGATGCAACCCTGCTTAGCTTCTATGCTCAATGTTCTCTTCACCCCTCAGTGGAGATTAAACTACTTGAATTGGCGGCGCGTGTTGGAAGAGCCTCGATTTACTCAATCCCATCTTGAAACCATTTTCATTTCTTCGTCAAAGGTACTGTATTTACTCTGTTTTGTTAAACCCTAATCATATTACAGTTTTCCTCTTTTATGATGTTTGTCTCATATGTTGGTTTCTTTGTACGAAGTTCAAGTGGTTTAGTATTACATATTTACATCTAGTTTTGAATGTTTAGCTTTTGATTTGTAGATTGTAACAATAGCCTTTAAATTTTTCTCTCTATTTATCATTACTTGGGCCGGTTGTCTTCTTGTTTATATGGTGTGAGTGTAGGTGTTGAGTAATCTATTACAGCTTGAATCCCTTGCTTTTTGTTGCGTGTGTTCTTTAATAATTTGTGTTGTGCCTGTCAATATTTCAAATTTTGAGTTTTATCAAATGCCAGTGTAGCTATCTGATATCTTAATGAATCAGGCAGTGGAAAAATGATCCCTTTGTTTTATTTTGGATTTCATTTCGAAAGTTCCTTTGGAGTCTTTCTTGCTAAATTGTGCAAGTTATTTTGGTTGGATGCTGTTAATGTTCACAGATTGTTGTGGTTTTTTCTGTAGTCTGTCATTGGAATGGCATTCTGTAACAAATTTGGGAACTTGGTGAGGCAGAGCATTTCCCAAAATGGGCAAGTTCCGGTGGCTACTAAGTTGAATTCAATTCCCTGCATGCCATTGACAAACCTTTTTAGTCGAGGTAGTGATGAATGATTGTTGTTTCGAAAGTTGTGCATTAATGCTTTGCTATTGACTTTGTTATTTGTGTTGTAGGTTTTGCATCTGGACAGCCTTTTATTGACGCGTTCCTGTTTCGTCTGAAGCAGAAGAAAGCGAGTCTTTCAAACAGAAAAATCTGGTCACGCAGATCAACTATTTTGCCGGAATACATTAATAGTTCTGTACGAATTTACAATGGAAAAACTTTTGTTCGTGTTAAGATCAATGAAGGGAAGGTTGGTCATAAATTTGGAGAGTTTGCTTTTACACGGAAAAGAAGAATTATGCAGACAAAAGTTGTGAAAGGGAAAAAGAAGTAAAATGTCAAGCATGTCCATAAAATCGCCTGTGAAGGCACATCAGTAGGCATTAAAAAGACCTTGCGTCAACACATTTGCAGTAGTTCATCAGTTTACTACCACAGTAAAAAGTTCTAAAATAAAAGGCTTATGAATTGATCAAGGAATTTTCTGTTTTGCACCAAACCGTAAGCATGCATTTGTGGCTTTGATTATGTGGTTTTTGGTAAGTTTCAGCATGTGTAGTTGAATTAGCGATAACATATTTTAGCAAGATGTAATTTTATTGAATTCCATACCTGGTGAAAATGAGTCCAAATTTTTCTTCTGGGTTGTCTGCTGTAACACTACAAAAAATAATGGAAGTCTAGACCGTTGCTAATTTTAATAAGCAATGGTTTTGTGACGGTTTAAAACTGTCCGTAAAATGTCAATCGTTAAAATTTTACAATGGTTTGGGCCGTTGCTAAATTAGCGACGATCCAAATTGTTGCAAAACTAAAAAACCTGTCATAGAAAATAGTTGTAGAAGCGAGGAAATATTGTGATGGTACAAAGAAAACCTTGCTAAAATTGTCGCAATTTAGCGAGGGTTTAGGATCGTCACTAATTTCATCACTAAGATATTATTTACAAATTTTTTTTAACCCTCATTTTAAATTAATCAATTTCTATTTAAAAATCTACAAAATACCCAAAACATAATATTTTAAATTTTCATAATTTTTATTATAAAATTTATTAAAATGTTATAAATATTATTCAATTATTAAATTCTTGAAAAAAGTAGAAAGTTTGTTGTTATTACAATAAAACATGATAGCTAGGAGAGATTGGCGGGATCGTCATTCGGAGGTTGGGTGGAGTCACCGACAGGTGTTAGCCATGACGGATGAACTGCCACCTTGTTGAAAATGCTACGGTAACATCTGTCGCATCCGTGTCATCATCATATGTGGTTGTCAAGTGTATTCTTTCAACTCATTTGTTGTAGCTAATAGTGTTATGACGAGTACCCGTAGCTTCCGGACGCTTGTATATTTGCGAGCAGTTTGATCGTCGCTTTCCTTTTGTTGTGCCTCATCACCAACATGGAACTGTGAAGTTGTCGAACCGAAGGTTGTATTGACATTAGAGTAATAATGAGATGCGTGTGACCCAAGTCCGTACATCTTCTTTCTCTTACTATCTCCTTCACCAACGGCTTTCCTAAAAATCTCATTAATGTTGATGTCGGTCGATGAAGTCCCCTTGTTTGTCGACTAGCAATCTCCTCCTTATTTATTAGTCTTTCTACGGTCTCTTGCATAATATTGAAAGATATAATATTAAATAGCTATGTGAAATAACGTTATAAATTAATATATTTGAAATAATGTTATAAACTAATTCACAACTAACATATATAATTCTTGATCGTTGATCGAAGAAGGCATATTGATCATCAATCTTTCTCCGACGAGTCCTCAAGAAAACCTCATGAGAATCAAGTTCACGACCCAACACTTCACGCTTAAACAAATATACATAAATATATTAAATATAGTCAAATATTTAATTAATTATTTTAATATATATATATATATATATATATATATATATATATATATATATAGACACACACACCATGTGTATTACATGTTCTCTATGGCTAATCGACTCTTCATATGTCTTGAAGGACCGGCTCCGACGCCACAAGTCTCATTCCTACGGTTTCGCGACGCCGTCTCCGTATAGCGAGCGAGATTAGAGAATTAGGCTAGGATAGTTAGAAAATGCTGAAAAATTGTTAAGGAAATGGAGGGAAATTGTCCTTCCATCTCTGTATTTTTTATTTTCTATACAAAATTAATTATTTTTTTAATTATTAATTAATTTTATAATTACTTAACTTCTTTACTTGATCAACAACTAAATAAAATTAATTACTAAATATAATTTCAAAAATTATTAATTTTTTAATTACTAATTATTTTTGTAATTATTAAAAATTTAAAATATTTCTAATAACTTATTAACAATTTTCTAAAATAATTAACTTTCCAAAATACTATCAATTAAACTAACTAAATTAATAAATAACATTTAACAATAAACTAACTAAATTAACAATCAACAATTAAACTAATAACAATAACAATTAAATTAACAATAAAAATTAATAACAATTAAATTTTTTAACAAGTAAAATTAACAATTAAACTCTCACAATTAATAAAAATTAATAACAATTAAACTAACTAAATTAACAATTAACAATAACAATTAAATTAACAAAAAAATTTAAACTTAAATTAAGTAAATAATTGAAAAAAATTAAAAAAATTAATTAAGGAATTAGATTAGGGAGGACCTTTCACCAACGCAAGGGTTACGCCGGTGGAGGGGCTTCATCGGACTGTTCGTTCGAAAAATAGACAATTGAGGAAAGGGGGAGAAAGGAAGAAAGAAAGAGGAAAAGAAGGAAGAAAGGAGTAGAGATGGAGGGGAGAAAGGGAAGGAGGAGAGAGAGAGAGCGAGGAGATTGGAAGGAAAATAAAGTAGAGTGGGAAGATTTGATGGAAATTCAAGGGAAATCGGCGGCTGGAAACGAAGGAGTAGGAGAGAGGGAAGAAGAAATTTTTAGATAGAATGGTATTTAGGGATTGAAATTTTTAGCGACGGTATAAAAAAGTCGCTAATTGCTTGAAAAATTTTAAAAATGGTCATTTTCCTCCGACGGTCGAATTTGCAACTGTTTTTTTTTTTTTTTTTTTGTAAAAAACCATTGCAAAAATAGTTATAGATTTTTTTTTAAAAAAAAATTAGAATTAGGGACTTTTTTTGGAAAAAACCGTCACAAAAAACCGTCGCTAATTTCCATAATTTGCAATGATTTTTTTTTTTACAAAAATCGTTGCAAAAATGGCTTTAGAAAAATTTTAAAAACAATTGGAATTAGCGAAGGTTTTTTTTGAAAACAATCATCGCTAATTTTCATGGTTTGCCATGTTTTTTTTACAAAAACCATTGCAAAAATGTCTTTAGAAAGTTTTTAAAAAAATTTGGAACTAGCGATAATTTTTTTGAAGAAAAATCATTGCTGATATCCATGATTTACGATGGTTTTTTTACAAAAAGCTTTGCAAAAATGGCATTATAATTTTTTTTAAAAAAAATGGGAATTAACAACTATTTTTTTGAAAAAAAGCTGTCGTTAATTTCCATGATTTTTTAGGACCAATTTAACGACGGTTGTGAAGACCCTCGCTAAAATGGTTCAAACCGTCACAATTTTAGTAAATTAGCGACTCGTTTTGAGACCGTTGCTATTTTTTCTTCACAAATCTCCTCGTTTTTTTTTTTTTTTTTTTTTTGTAGTGTAAATTGATGAATTATGTCGACAATTGATATAATATCTTTCAAACCGATCTCTAGCATTTAGATTTGATTTCACCGAATTTGGCTCCTCAAGTTTTGATGGAGGAACATCTTGATTTCCTTGATTTTAGCTCCAATTTAGATGATTATAGCAATTCCATTCAATATGGATTTTTTGAGTTTTTCTGAATTGTATCCACTTTTCGAAAAAAACTAACATTGAGGTCTGGAATGCAAAGCAATTTTTGTAAACACACTTTGCATCATGTACAATATTACATCAAAGTAGAGAGGTGTGGTTAATGGTTTACATAAGAGTAGAGAGGGAAAATGACAAACTAGTATCCAAATTATAACTCAAATCTCATAAAGTCCTCAAATTTCTCGATCAAGTCCTTCAAAAATCTACTATTTCAAATTTCGACACCCTCATTGGTATCGGTAAATAAATTAAGCCTTTAGGAAATATTTCGACACCGATCTAATTTTTCGATCAACGCTAATATGGCAATCCATGTAAGCATGACATGCGAGACTTTAGCAAGCCACGTAAGTCTACATAAGCGAGTGATGGGGATCCTACAATTACGTGGATCCTGTGTGGTTTTCTAAAGTCCACATGTCATGCTTATGTGGATCCTACGTTGCTTGCTAAAGTTCACGTATCATACTTCGTCACTTGTCATGTCAACGCCGCTTGGAATTTTGGTCGAACAATTAGATCGGTGCTAATATTGTTATCGAATGCTTAGTTGATAACCTTTTTTATACAATTTTAAAAAGAGTTAAAATCATTAAAGCATATATAGTTCATGATTTTTTAAACATTAAGCCTATAATAAATGATATTAATTATGAAATACCATTATACATGATAATGTTTTATCTATTATAACTTCTGTTTTAGTAACTTTTTAAAACAAATATCTTTATAAAAAGTTAACAATTATAACGATATTTTAAGTAAAATTTTATTGCAAGTACATGTTTTATTAGCATTCCAAGCGATTATCTTTATCCCAAAAGTTTAGTGGCATTTAAAGACAATTATATCAATTTTACTAACAATTATTATTGAATTCTACCAACATCACCAACATCGGATATAAAGACCCAAGTACTTGAAACAAATGCCTTTATACCGATGTGTGTGTCCAATGTTGGTATAAACATATACTACAGTAGCTACTAAAATAAAATAAAAATAAAAAAATACCGTGAACATAAGATTTATAAAAAATGATATTAATTATGAAATACCATTATACATTATAATATTTTATCTATCATAACATATGTCTTAGTAACTTTTTTAGACAAATGTCCTTATTAAAAGTTAATTTTGCTTGTTCAACCTCTATGCCAAACATAAATTAAAATCTTATTTTGCTTTGATTAAAGTGAACTATCTAATTTGAAGAACCACGTATTCATGGTATACTTTTTGGTATATTGTATCTATTCACGTGCAATCACAAAGGAATAAAAAATGCTTCCATTTCCTCGAGATTTCCTTTTAATTTGAAAATAATGCTTGACTACACCATATAATAATAAACTCATAATGCTAAAAGAAAATTGATTTTTTCTTTTGAAACAACGTTTTAAGGGCGAGTACGAAAATTCAAGAAATAATTAATGTAAGAACGTAAAGAATGAGG